AGGGGGCTGTCTTTCCTTCTTTCGGGATGAAAAAGGAAAAATAGATTTCTATGCTGAAATACATACCTATATAAAGCCAATAGAGAGGAATTTACAAAGAAAATTAAAGATTTGTTTCTGGCTGCCTTTACTGGTAAACAAACACTGGCATCCTTAATAGCTCAGGAATAAAGCTCCAGCTCTAGGCTTGACCTCGTATTTCCAGGGTCTCCTTGTTCTAGGGGGAGGCAAACCTGCCAATGAACAGGGGTGCATTTGTGGCCTTCTCCTTAATAATGAAGATAAAAGGGTGGTTGACAAAGAAATTTATCTCTTCCATCAGCATGGCAAAGACAGCGATGCCTGCTGTGGCAGCTGCCGCCTCTGTCCCCTCTTCATTCACATCTATAAAGGCCTTGTGTATAATCTTTGACACAGAAAGATCTCTGGCTCCTGATATACCAGACAGATCAGCCTTTCTGCTACTAAAGAGATCCTGCACCCCGAGGTGGGCGAGACTGTCGTTAAGACTGTAGCTCTCTTCCACCTTGAACCTGGGCAGTTGGACGTTGACCTCGATGGTCTCCAGATTATCAGTCCACTCTCGCAGTTTTTCCAAAGTCAGTTGTTTCTCAATCTGGAATTAAGGTGAGGCAAAAAGAAGTGAAAGCAATTTTACATAAATAAAATAACAAAGCACTCTTTATTTTTTGGCGGAATCGGGGATTGAACTCAGGCCCTTTCACTTGTCAGGCAAGTGCTTATCAAAGCACTCTTTAAATGTATGGATTCACAATAATAGCTGCTACTAATTTTTCTTAATGTTTTGTGGCAAGACAGATGCCATTGGGAGGGTTTTGTTCCTGTCTGGTGTCTGGTAAAGTAGGGCAGAGCTATGTTCTGTATCACCAAGCACAGGGACTTCGGAATGAGACCTATCATCTCTCCACCCAGTGACCCAGCCACCACGTGTCCCTGCTCACCCACCTGCTCCTCCCTCCTCCCTCCTCCATTCATGCACCACGCACCCTTGGCCCTTCATGCCTCCAAGCACTCAGGACTCACTAATCCCTTACCACAGTGGATTGCTGCGGTAGGCTGTGCTGGCTTTATTACCCTAATTGGATTGGTGTGAAGGAAATTAAAAAGGCTCCTGTTTGTTCCAAACTGCTAATTGTTCGCCTCCTTGCAGCTCATCACTTTAGCTCCTTAGTAAAACTGTAAAGGCAGACTAGGTACTAGACCGAGATCCTCATTTAAAGTGGGAAAATAGTTGAACATGCCTTGTTATAACATTGCTTGAGCATTAGATGAGTTGATGTATACACGATGCCTGGCATGTGATACACACTACACAAATATCAGTGGCGTAACTATTGGCACTTTTGGAGCAGAGCAGAGCCACCATTTTCTTGTCCTACTGAGCTGATACCTCCTTACATGAAGGCAGAGGCTTCTACTTTGCAGCGAGAGGAAAAAGTAATATACGAGTGCAGTGGGAAAAAGGAACCCTTTGATACTAATAATACATTTCACGCAAATGACTAGGGTTAACCCCTTTCCCCACACGAAGTTTGGCTGGGAAGGAGAGAGCAAAGCCACGCTGCAGGTGAGGAACACTAAAGAAAAGCTATAGTCTTCATAATTTTGCTGAGGTTTAGCACTGGCATGAGATGGCCCAGTCTTTCAAGTATGCATAATGGAAGCAGCATACAAAATTCACATTAGGAAACAGGCCCAACTCTGATGCTGACTTGGCACAAAATAATTTTCCTATAACATACCTATGGGGAATTTAATTCGCAATTCGTATGAATTGTGGTAAGAATGAACAGTGTAATAATAAGCGAGGCCGTAGACTAACATAATTTGGACTTGTAAATCTTTTACCCTAGTAAAACAATCCCTGTTGTATCACACTTTCCTTTAAAGTTAATTCAGAAGGCTTTCCATGAGCTGCCACTCTCCGAGGTTACATTTCATTTACATTCAGCCGTTCCTCATCCTGACTGTGCACAAAAGTGCATCTTGAAAATATGAACTTAGGGCCTCTGGGCTAAAGGTGCAACTCAGGGCTAGAGCACTTGCCCAGCATGCACAGGGCCCTGGCTTTGATCTGTGCCACCTCAAAATAGAGATAAGGATAGTCATTATCAGCAGCGACAGCGGCAGCATCCACCACGCAAGCTACAGGAAAAATCCAAGGAAACCCAGACCATGAAGCTGGCATGCCAGTACCTCCTCCAGGCCTGTGGTGTCGTCCTTGATTTCCTCAGGCAGCAGAATAATCATGCTGACCTTCCCTTCTTGGTAAGGCAACTCCAGCACCTGACACTTAAGGTCCTTGATGTAGCCGTACGGAAATCTTGCTTTCTGAGACATCATCTTCACAACCTTTGTGTCTTTCTGTATAGATTTTAAAAAATCATGTAAATGATTCTTTCACATTCCTTTAGAGCAAAGAGCAGTTTTGAGGCTGGAAGTGTGACTCAGTGATGCTATCTATGTTTAGTGTGTTGGAGGTTATAGGTTTCCCCCCAAAAGAGGAAGAAGGAGGAGCAGGAAGAGGAAAAGAAGAATAAGGAGGGGAAAAAAGACTAGGAGGAGGAGGAGGAAGAAGAAGAAGGAGGAGGAGGAGGAAGAGGAGGAGGAAGAGGAAGAAGGAGGAGGAGGAAGAAGGAGGAGGAGTAGGAAGGAGGAGGAGGAGGAGGAAGGAGGAGGAGGAAGAAGGAGGAGGAAGAAGAAGAAGGAGAAGGAGGAAGAAGGAGGAGGAGAAAAGGAGAAGAGGGAAAGAGGAAGAAGAAAAGAATAATGAGAAAAAAAGGAAGGAGGAAGGGGGGGGAGAATAACTTTGGGCAGCTACATCACCTTATTCAGTCTGAATGGAACCTCAGTTGTGTCATTTTTCAGGAATTTCTCCTGCCATATTCCCTTGAAGTAGATGGCATTCACTAGCACAAGTTTACTCGTGTCGTCAATCACACCTGGAGCCAACAGTTCTGGAATTTTCCCTAAAAAGATAACATGAACTTTTTCAAATCTCCATGTTGTAATTCCAGGCAATTTCATAGCAAGGAATGCAATTCAAATGTACACTTTCGACTGTGTCAAGTTAGGAAAGCCTAACTGGGGTCTTTGCTTTGTATAAATGAATTTGTGAGGCAGGCCAGGATGAATATAATCAGGCTGCTTGGTAGCAACACTTGAAAAGAAGCTACTGTGGGCTTTGGGAGCGTAGTTCGGTGGTAGAGCACTTGCCCGGGATGTAGAAGGCCCTGGGCTCCATCTCCAGCACAGTGAAAGAAGAGAAAAGTCATGAAAACAAGCTGAGGGTTCACAGAGGCTAAAAGCAGAATTCTCTTTCCCAGGGTCAGGTAAAAACAATGAACATTGTTTGGCGAATGGTCACTGTTTGCAGAGGGGACAGCATCTGATATAAGTGTGCTCAGGTCAGGGGCAGGAGGCTGGGGGAAGAGAGGGGGCAGGATGTGGGTGGACAAGAGCAGCTTGGACCCTTGTCTTGCGAAGGCCCTGGATTGGTCCACATCTGTGTCACTAGTGGGAAGAGGGAGAGCTCTTAAGTGATGGCACGGTGAGAGGTCTTTAGCTCCCTGGGGGTGTGACCTCCAAGGCACTGTGGGACAGCTGTCTCCTCCTCTCTTACTTCATACCTGGCTGTGATGGGAAGGGACCTCCCTCCTCTACCAGGCTTTTCACTGTGACGCCCTGTGCTGCCACAGGCCAGACCAACAGGGCCAAGTGACCATAGATGGAAGTGCCAAAAACTGTGAGACAAAATGAGTCTTCTCACCCTAGAAGCTGCTTATCACTGGGGTGTGTTACAGTCACAGAAAACTGACCAGTACAGGCTTCAGGTGCCGGGATTCTCACCTTCTGTCTCTTCTTTCACCCACTTGTTTATTGTCTTTCTTGTGTTTTCAGCATCACTCTGAAAATCCACACTGACCATTTCTGCACCATACATTTTCTTAGTTGATGCCAAGAATTCCTATTAAAAGAAAGCGTGCCACAAACAACTTCTACTCATACTGTAGTGTTTGGGGTAGCAAAACCCCAGAGAGCAACAGAGACTATCCTAAAAGCTTTCATGCAATTATAACACAAAAATTCTAACCCTTATACTTTTGAAAACTATGGTAAAAACATATTGCATTAAATCTACTATCTTGACTGTTTTTAGGGGTACACTTCAGTCATGGTAAGTTTAAGTTAAACTTTGCATGTTATAAAGTATACTGGTTCTTTTTGAACATTGGACTAATATTTTCAGAAGTAAGTAAATGCTGACTGCACTTGGAAGGAGATCACACGATTCACTATGGTTCTCCTAGAACTCTGGAACTCGGAGGCACAGCAGCACAGGGCTGGAATCTCAGCCCTCAGGAAGTCACGACAAGAGCCCGAAGGTCAAGGCCAGTCTGGTCAACTTAGCGAAACCCTGTCTCAAACTAGGAAGTAGCTCAGCAGTAGAGAGCTTGCCCAGCACAAACACGGTCCTGGGCTCAGCCCCAGCAGGGAAAAGAACAAAAAATTAATACATACTCCTTTTAGTGTAAAGACTATCAACTTCACTGATGAATGGACATGCTGCCATAGGCTTTCATTCTGTGTTACCTTGTGAGGGTTGATAAATATTGAAGCTGTCCTGGAACACAGATCACTCTGTGAAGCAAAGTTGATAACACAAAGCGCGGAGTACTCACCGGGAGGAGCGCATAGGTTTTCTCGCCATATAATCTGTTAGCAAGTTTCAGAACATATGAGGCTCCACGTTTATTGAGTTTTGCATTCAGGTTCTGAAAACTTGAATGAACGTCCTTAACTGTATCAAAATGAAGAGCCTAAAATAAAGAGAATATTTTTTTCTGCAACCATTGGTTTTGAAATTAGAAATTCCTTAGTATTTGCTTGCACCAAATTAAATGACTGTGTTTTTACTTCTAACTATTGATTCCCTAGCTCAATACTATATTAATTCATCACTGAGGGAGAAATATTAGGGAATATAGAATTTATGACTGGGTGAACTATATTAATTGTAAGATTAGAAATTGAATTTTACAATATTTTTAGGAATAATTGTAGTTTCAAAAGTGTGAGTGTCCTAACCACTCTCATTTGTGAAACCATAACTATATGTCTGCTTTCGTGTCCCTCAGATCAAAAATAGTGTATTTATATTCTGTATCACATATAATCTTATTGAAATTTCTCACAAATAAATAGTAAAAATTGAAAACCATCCCTGAGGCTCAAGCACAAAGACATTACAGATTGTGGACTTTAGCTTTGCTTCTCTTGCCAGCATCCCTGGCTTGCTATTTAAAATACTGCCTGAGGTAAGCACGCTGGTGGCAGCTTAATTCGCTGTGTGCTGGCTACGCGAGAGGAAGCCCTCATGGTTTTGTGTGTCTCAGGCTGTTTTCTGCTTTGGAGACAAAGAAAATAAAACCACCCGTGTCCAAAGTCCACATCTCTGGGAGATATGGAATGTTTGCTTGTCCTTGTGATCCACCTGTGTTACTGGGAGCAGGGAGGGAGGAAAGTCCTTAAAACTCCTCTGTGTGGAATTATGGACTTCCTGGAAGCCCTGGAATGGGAGCTGCCATAACCCTGTGAGAAGCAGCTGACAGCACCTGGCTAAAAACAAGTTGATTTTGTGTGACGCCTTCCATGCGCTTGCATCTGCACACTGAGCACAGAGCTCTCCAGCACTGCTCCCTCCCGGTGAGCAGGTGCGAGGAGACGTGCGTGCAGGAGTGTTGGGAAAACCTCCAGTGTCACGCTCCTTCCTAGGCCTCCAGCGTGACCTACAGCTCCCCTCTGGGAATCTGAGAGTGTCAGGCACTATTGTGTCCTCGGTGCCCACTGAGGAGATCAAGAAAACCCTGCTGTCCTTGCTTCTCTCCTGAGTGACCCACTACCCTGCCCAGGACTTGATTCTGCGCCCAAGCTCAGGAACTCTGGCTGGCCCACAGCTCTTGAGGCTATGCTGAGGGCCTGTGTAGTGTGAAGCCTGGGATACCAAGTGACCAGCACCACCAGCTGCCCACTATGGTGCCCTCCCCTTGTCGCCTACCCTCATGCTCAAAGGTAATGCTACAGATCAGATATCATGACTGAGCAGTCAGTCACCCTGTACAAAGCTAAACCTAGAAACAGCAGCTGAGGGGGTGGCTCACAGGGGGCTGTCCAAGACTCTCTGGGACAGAAGCAGCACTCTGCAACGATCCTGCTGGCTTGGTTCATTGCTGTACCCTCAGCTAAACAAAAACCAGTGCCTGGCACAAAGTAGACCCAACTTCCAGCAAGAGCCTACAGGAAACGGGACCATTCGTGGGCCTTGCTCAGCCTCTGACGGCTCATGGATGGGGGGGGGGCACAGCTCCACAGTGCTTGGGGAGCTGCTCACCACAAGAGCTGGAGGATACCAACTGTGACCGCACAGTGGTGGGGAGCGGCAAGGAAGGGTGCTTCTGCTGACCTTGGAGATCTGTGCTGCTGTGTCGCCTCGGGTCCCCAGAAAGATCATGCCCATGGCCGATGAGATGCTGTAGGGTGAGATGAAGACGTTCCCCGTAGGTTTGCTTTTACACAGGAAGAGGAAAAGGTCTAGCGCGAAGGCGGTGTTCGCTGTGCTCAGCTGCTCCATGGCGAAAGGCTGCCACACACAACACAAAGGCCCTGGTGACTCCCTGCCCACGCTTCCAAACCAGGCAGCCGCCTGGCTTTCCCTGCCCCTTCCTGCGCGGGTGCCAACGCCCTGGACACACCCTGGAACTTGTACTTCATCCCCTCTTTTCTCCATGAGGACAAGCAGGCTCTCCCTGGGCCACAAAGGCGGGGCCAGACCTGCTGGTTGCCTTGGCGTGGCCCCCACACCTCCCAGTTAGAAGCAAACTGGGATCTGCCCCTCTCGTCCTAGGCTCACATTCATGTCAGCAGGTACTCCCTTGCCTACGTTCCCCCGAAGCCCACCACGTCTCCTAGCGAATCAGAGTAACCCACTCTAAAGAAAATCCTGGCGGCCTACTGTGCCCTCAAATAAATTCCAGCACCGATGGAACTGTTAGGGGCAGAGCTTTTTCCTTTTGGGGACTCAGCGTAGGCTGCAGGAGCCTCAAGCACAGGGACATGCTGTAGGATGGCGAGGGTGGCAGCCCAGCTGCCCCAGGCCTCCGGCACCAGGCGGGTGGGGGTGAGGAGGGGCACCCAGGGTCCGGTCTGCAGCCGGCCACTATCCCCCACCTGCATTTCTCTGTTCCCAGAGTCTTAGTTTCCCCAAGAGCGCTATAGACAAAGAACGTTAGTGCCAGCTGACGTTGAGGCTGGGTGGCCGGGAAGGAAGAGAAAAAAGCGCCCAGGTCCTGCTGCGCAGGGCCCTGAGGATCCCGGCCGGCCCCTCCCCCTCAGGGAGATGGGCAGGGCCGAGGAGCTCTCCCCGGGTCCCCCCAAACCCTTACCGGCTGCTCTGCGCTGAGCTCTGCCAGGCGCGGGACTGGGGAAGGGCCCGGGTCCACACCCTTATAGCTGGGGAAGCGAGGGAGCGTCACAGGGACAGGCCCCCTAGGGGCAGGGCGGTCCGTGCCTCTGAGGGGCCCTTCCCGGCTGCTGAGGTTTGCAAAGCCTCTGCACAGTGCCCTCTTCAGGGCATCGGGTCTTTCTTGGTTGTAAGGCCCTAATTACTAAGGTGGCAGGGCTGAGATACTGTCAAGTGTGTCCTCTTGGGAGAACCCCATCTATGTTAGGGTTGGGGGAGTGAATCTGGGATCCCTCGCATGGAGAAAGAGGGCCACCGGGATAGGTAGAACCAAAGCACTTCAAGCACCAGCTTCGGTGTCCCCGCCTTTCAGGCTCAGCCAGTGAATCTGGGTCACAAAGACCGCAGCTGCAGGCCGACCACTTGCCACCACCAAGTTACCAAAGTCAAAAAAACAAAATAAAACTCCACAGACTCTGCAGGCAGGCCTGCAGGAGGTGTTAGGCTGAAAACTGAGCAGTTTCTGCCCAGATTATTCGGGAAGAGTACTGGCATAAATGTTTTCGTGAGGTCCTTGTGTGTCTCTCTAAATGTCCAGATTACACCAAAACTTCACTGTCTTTGAGGTATAAAATAATTGCATGTTCAGAAAACTCTGCTTTCTTGCAAATCATGAAAAAGAGACAAAAGAAAAATCCTGTCATTTTGTCAGCCTGGACCATAGCATGGGAATGGGTCTGCAGAGTTTTATTTTGTTTTTTTGACTTTGGTAACTTGTTTCTAATGAAAATAAGATCGCAGTAATGAGTAATTAAAAAAAAAAAGCTATCCATAGTTTGAGAAAAAGAAAGTCTAGCCAACTAAAGTGGCAGTTTTACTGCAATACAATAAACCAGCCAGCTCAAGTTAAGTCCCAGTGCTTCAATCAGATCTGATAGCTGTGCCAGGTTTCCCATTGAACTCGAGAACCACCTCAATGTCAGAAACTCAGTGGCTACATCCATGTCCTGGCTCAGTCAGAAGACGGCCATCCCATGACCAGATGACAGCCACAGCCCTGTGGACCACCTGCTGTGGATTCCTAGAGCCATCAGGAACCATCTCTGAGCCGCGGACTCCAGGCATCCAAAGGAGGAGTAAGGCTCGCCCTGCTGGTCCCCTGGTGTCTGGCTGGCCTGACGTCGCCTGAGCTTGTGCCCTCTAACAGTGGAGGACTGGTGAGCCTGTTTGAACCCTTGTGTTCCGCTGTAACAGAGCGATCAAGGCTGATGAGTGCAGAAACCTCAGAAATGTGTTTCTCACAGTGTTGGAGTCTGGGGAGTCCAGGACTAAGGCACCCACAGATCTGCTCGGGTGATGGGCCTATGCACAGCTTCCTCAGTGTGGGGAGGGGGCGCTGGGGCTGAGTTTGACGCCGTTTTCTCAAGGATCTTTGTCCCATTCACAGGTAGAGCCTTCCTGCGCCTGACTGCTTTCTGTTAGGGTGCCATCTCTTAAAGCTTTTACCTCAAGGACTCGGTTTTCATGTGAATCTTGGGGGCATCTGGGTCCTTTGAAGAGGGTTTGAGTGTTGTCTCCGAGGGTTGCTGTGTTGAAATCTGGCCCCTACTGTGTAGAAACTTGATCTGAGTAAGAGGTCTAGGGGTGAGGTCTTTAAGAATGGGTTAGGGTAGAAAAGTTGTGAAGATGGAGACCCCATGACCCATTACCAGAGAGGAAGGAGAGAGAGGAGAGAGAGAGAGAGAGAGAGAGAGAGAGAGAGAGAGAGAGAGAGAGAGAGAGAGGAAAGGGAGAGGGAGGGAGGACATAGGAGAGAGTGCACAAGCCCCAAGCGGTGGTGCCTGTCCCTGTCATGTGCTGTCCTCCTTGGGACTCTGGCAGCACAAAGGCCATCCTCATTATCATTACTGTTCATCTGGAAGCCCTTGAGCCTCCAGAACTTCGAGTTAAATAACCCCCTTTTCTTCATCAAGTTACCCAGCTGCAAGCGCTTACTATAGTAGTAACAGAAACGCCTATGATGTCTGCATGTATGAACTGCTGCCGCTGCGCCCCAGCAGGCCCAAGCCCTCCCAGTGCACAACAGGCTTGCTCTTCCAGGTCGCAGTTCTGGGGGAGCTGCCGCAGACTGCCATCACTCTCCAGAGCGTGTCCCTATCTGATTTGCACACTGGACGCCAGGCATATTATTATAATAATAATTATAATTATTATAGTTATGACATATACTATAAATATAGTTATCACAGTCACTACTGCTAGGAACCTGAGAAAATCTGACACTGAAAGTGGGAGTGGCAGGCTGGAATGAAGGAGTCGCTGTCCCAAAACCCAGCATCACAAACATTAGCCTCGTGCTTCGGAATAATCTATAATGATGTCCACCTTCTGGGTGCGCAGGCCCAGGGGCTGGGTGTCCAAGGCTCCATGGGACCTCATCCTGGACTGCCACAAGCAGCTCTTGCAGGTCACTGTTGGGTCATCCGAGGCCTGCAGTTTCCCAGGCTGGCATTGGGACAGGGCCTGGGTGCCCGTACAGTGTCAGTGGACATCAGCACGTTAGACAGCCCCAGTCTGGTGGCATTGCCCTGGTCAGCCCATCTCTGCCCAGGACCCATCCATGGCTGTCCAAGGCACCCTCTCAAATCCAGGTGGGATCAGCCATGCTCTACAGTCCGTGTGTCTGCTTGCCCATGGTGTTGGCATTACACAGGTGCCACCAAGGATTATCAGAGGACTGGTCAGGCAGTCAGGGAATCAGGAGGACTTGAACAGGGAGTGTTGCACCAGAGCATGGCAAGCAGAGGTGAGGGCCCTCAGCACCCTGGGCAGCCAGCCCCAGGTCCCTTGGCAGCCTGAGTGGCTCCGTGGAAGCTTCCCATCAGGCCTTGCACTCTGGGCCTCAGTGGGGAGTGGCAGTCCTGACAGGCTCAAGGTGCCCTTGGAGTCCTTCTTCCATTGTCTTAATACCATCTTGCAGTCTTCTAGTCACACCTCTAGTCATGTCTCTTTGTCAGATGTTGGTACTGGCCAAGACACTTAGTGTCTTGCAAGCATCTTCCCCAAATCTCCTAGGTTTCACCTCCCTTTCCATCACAAACTCCATCTTTCACTTGCCATTGTAAGACATTTTAGGATGAGCAGTCAGACCCTCTCAATATTCCACCAGGCATTTCTTCCCCCAAGAATCCTTGCTCTATGCTGTCAACTTCTACTATCTATGAAGCACAGTGACAGGGACACAATTCTGCAGAATCTTGCTGCTTTGTAAGAAGGGCAGCCTTTCCTGCAGTCCCCAGTCCCTCACCCCTCACTGCCACCCCATGCAGCTGGAATGGCCTCCGTGGTCTGTATTGCTGCCTACACCAGATCACAGCCACGGGGGCCAACCTCCAAGGAGACCTAGGCTGTCCCCACGGCCCTCCTCCTGTCCTGAGCCTTCCCTGGGCCCTTCCCTAGAGCTCTGCTTTTGCAGCCTAGACTTTTTCTAGAATGTTCCCCCACACTCTTCCAGTCTCTGCCATTTCCTCAGCTCCAAAGCCACTTCTGCATCCCATGATGCTCCACGTGGCACCAGTCCACACAGGATATGGCTGGGGCAACCTGCACAACAGAGGATTCATGCCCTGGGCAGGGCAGAGAGGGACAGCGTGGAACAAGGACACCAACATGGTCTCAGAAGGGCACATAGATGTCACTGAGAGAGCTTGTTTAGCTCTGGAATTTCCCACTTGACATTATGCGGGCCTTGGTGACCACAGGTGACTGGACCCATGCACAGGGGTGCTGCTGAATTTCCGGGTTACCCCTTCTGCCCCTCAGCTCCTGCGAGTGATGCGCGCTCGGACTTCTGGGCCCTCAGACAAGCCCAGCACACAGAGCTCTCAAGCATCCTGACGTTTTCTCCTTCACTCTCCCAAAGAGCATCCAATTTTGAATAAGCTTGGTTTCTCATTCATTTTAAGAAACTGTTAATAAGTAAATTTTGGCACTTTTAATCATCTGGAGCTTATTTGGATTATAAATCTCAGAGCAGTGTTTTGTAAATGCTGTAGATACCATTCTAACACATGTTAGGTACGATTCTTTAAGGAACTGATTTTTGTGGTTGTATTGTCTAGATAATGTTGTATTTTAGATCATCAATCAAATTATAAACAATGTTTTCTGTAATCCATTGCAAGTTCAGTGATTAGAAACATTTCAAAGTGGAAAAGGCCAAGAGGTGCCTGGCTGTAATGTGAGCACGCGGGAGGCTGAGACAGCGGGATTGACTGCCGTGGGCTCCAGACCAGCTCGAGTGGCAGTGGGCTCAAGGGCGGCCTGAGCCACATAGTGAGACTCTGACTCAGAACAAAAACAATAAACTAAAGCAGTAGTTTTGTATGCTCTGACCTATACTTAGTATGGTAAAGGAAAATAATTTGATGTTTGCCTAAATAATTACTGACTTTTATTTTTTGCAGTGTTGGGGTGACCTGGGTCTCACACACACTAGGCAAGTGCTCCCCACTGAGCTGTACCCCAGTCCTCTAGGCTTGTTTTTAGTGGGTTTTTTTTTTTTTTTTTTTTCGAAACCAGGATTGAACTCAGGCCCTCGTGCTTGCCAGGCAAGCGCTTGCTCTACTGAGCCATCTCCCCAGCCCCTTCAGTTATGTGTTTTTAACACATCAAAGCAACAGGAAGTATAAGAAGTAAAGCCATGCTGTTATGTTGAGCTGTAGGGGACTCAGGTCAACAACTTCTGACCCTGCCAGTGAAGCGGAAGACCCAATACTATTATGGACTACTGGACTCTTTTAGAATATTTTGCTGAGTTCACACACCTATAATATTCAAATGACGGAACTAAATAAAAAAAGGGGATACAGATGAATGTCCATTTTGTATCTGTGTATTCAAAATGGTTAGGACAGATATATAGTTACATTCTCTTAATGAAGAGAGGGATTTGTTCTAATAGTGTTTGTAAATAGGATATCATGTCTGCGTCTTGTACAGCAATTAACCACTAGGAAGA